CCTCGGGAGGCCGGGCGGGTGGCTGGCCCGGCTGCCGGCTGCGCTGCGCGGCTCTCGGTTCCGACGGTCTCTCTCATGCGCTGAGGGCGCCCGGCTGGGCCGGGCGGGCGGCGGGAGCGGAGGCTCCTCTCCATGGTCCAGAAGACCAGCATGTCCCGGGGTCCTTACCCACCCTCGCAAGAGATCCCTATGGAGGTCTTCGACCCCAGCCCCCAGGTGAGGCGTGGTGCCGGGCCGGGGAGAAGGGGGCCTCCCCCGCGGACCTTGTGGGGTCGTCTTGAGGGGCTTCGGGGAGGAAGGGGCTATATGCCTGGCGCCTAGGGGTGAGGGGCGCCCGCAGCACCCCCCAGCCCTGCCCATTGGTGATTGATGGGCGCTTGGCCCAGAGTTGGCTGCGGTGCTGCGGAGCGGGGAGGGGGCGGTCGGGTCGCCTGTCACGCTCGCTTCCTCGTCTCCCCCGCCTCAGGGTCTCTGCTGCTCGGGTACCGGCTCTAGAGGGTTGAGAGGCGAGGTACTGACGGGAGAACGGGGGTTGAGGGAGAGTAGAGAACCAGCAGAAGGGGCGACGCAGAGCACGCTCTAGGGGCCCCGGGCGGGGGTGGGTGGGGCGGGGGTGGCCCTGGGACATGGCCGAGGCGATGGTCAGAGGGCGGTGCCAGCAGGCCTTCGGAGCCAGACACTAACCCTCGAGGGTGGGAAAGGAACGCGGACGGGAGAGGGATCGGCTCCAGGTCAGATCCCAGCCACCTCCGGGCCACCCCAATATTGGACCAACTCCTCTTTGCCCCTTATCTCCGTCCGTCCCTCCCAGCCTTGAAGTTTGGAAAGTTGGATGCTTGCCAACTTCCTCCTGGAGGGGAGAAGCTGTGTTACCTGGGGGAGGGGGCCGCTGCGCTGCCCCACCCCCACGCACACTTTTCCTGGATACCCCTGGGTTACTCTCAGAGGGGACATTCTTGGGTGTGGTGGATGCAACCAGTGAGGTCTGGGATGGTGGTGTCAGGGGGTTTCTCTGGGACATGTCCTCCAATCCAGCAACACCCCAAGGCTGGGATAGCATTAAGGCTTTTCTTGCTGTGGCCAGCCTGGAGCAACTGTAACCATCATAATGTGGTTGATGGGCATGTAGGGGGTCAGGTCAGACCTAAAAATACCTCCCTTCTTCACCCCAGGCCCCTTGGAGTCTGGGAGGCAGCTGACTGAGGCCTTCCTTTCAGCTGTCCCTTGTCCCTCTGGGTGCCACTCCCTTTTCCCAGCCTGGGGAGGTGGTGGTGTTGTTGTGAAAGAGAGTCTGGGGCTCACGGCAGGACCCTCTTAAATTAAGTTCGCAGAGATCCTCTGTCCTAGAGGTCAGGTCTATGTCTCTGGTTTAAGAGGAGAGGAGGGGGAGGGTTCTCAGAGGGTTCCTTGGTGCCCTTCTGTCCCATCTGTCTGTCCTCCTGCTTGTACTCAGGCCTAGCAGCCAGGACAGGACAACCTAGTCCTATCATGGCTTATGTAGCTTCTTTGGTCAAGAAACTCTAGGATGGCAGCTGGAGGCAGGGCCCTGGGGGGTCTGAATCCTCAATGGGCTTCCCTACACTGGACTGGCCTGGGGCCAGCGTGTGGAGGTGAGATGGGACCGAGCAGCCCCCTTTATAGGTGGCCTGGAAATACCTGAATATGCATCACTGAGAAGTGAGGCCATGTCCACTCCCCGAAAGAAGAAATCTGGCCAGTGAGGCTGAGCCAGCCTACTCCAGGGACCTGTGGGACTGTGTCCTAGGCTCATCTTGGGGCTCGGCAAGGGACATTTAGATTGACACAAGCTGGTGGGTACCATGGAGCCAAGGCCCAGGTAGTGTCTGCTGGGGATTTAGAGTGTGGATGTTTGATCCCTCTCGCCCCTTTAGGGAGCAGTGTGCCCACCGTGCTTGTGAGTGAGGGGTTAGCGGGGAAAGAGGGGCATAGTTAAATGCTTGGCATTGTGCTGGGGTTGGAATTGAGTTTAGATGTTTACTTTCCAAATATAGTTCCATGCCCTGCTCCTCCTTCCCAGAAATCTAGCTTGGGGTTCTCCAGTTGTTGAGAGCTGCCAGTCCTCTCCCCACTTTGTGAAAAAACGAAGGCAAGAGTTGGTTGGGCTCAGGGCAGAAGGAAACCGGGCCCAGGGCTGGCGATTCCTCTTCTCCCTGGGTGCCACTGGCACACTCAGCACCCTGGGAGGGGGAGAGGGAGGGGCACTCTGCCTGGCGCTCTCCGCCCCCCAGCACTGCAGGCAGCTCTCCCTTCCCCCAGGCCTCTGCAGCCTGCCCAGCATCTTAATTAGCTTTGCTGCCTAATGAGCCTCCAGTCTCATTGCCTCCCCCTCCCCAGCCCCTCTGGTTTGATTTGGGGGTTTCCTGGGGCTCTCTTCCACTGCCCCCACCCCATGTGGTCTGGGCTCTCCCTCCCTTTGGTCTGTACCATCTGAGATAGAGGGGGGGGTGCTGTTCAGATCAGGAAATGAAATTTCCAGGCTTGGCTGTAGCCCTGAGCCCGATGGGATGACGATGGGGAAAGGGCCTTTCTGACTCTGCTCTTGTCCATTCCTGGCTCCTCCAGGGCAAATACAGCAAGAGGAAAGGGCGGTTCAAACGGTCGGATGGGAGCACGTCCTCAGATACAACATCCAACAGCTTTGTCCGCCAGGTAATGGGGAGGCCAGAAAGAGGAGGGAGGGGTCTGGTGGGTAGAGACCAGCAATGGTGAGCTGGGCCTGAGGCTTTACCAGGAACCCTCCCCCATGTCATTTGTCACCCGCCTGGAACCACCCCATCATTCTGACACCCCATGACCTCGCCTGCATGTACTGTCAGCTGCATTTCTCCCTCAACTCCGCCCCCACCAGGCCCTCCCCCAGCATCGGGCACCAGCCCCTGCTTGCTGCCTGCCTGCCTGCCTGCCTGCCTGCCTGCCTGCCTGCGTCATCTCATTCAGGGACAGCTTGGCCTGCCTCCTAGTTTGCTTGGGGCTGTCACCCACTCCCCCTGCCGGCTGTCTGCTTCCATGTTCTCCCCCAGAATTTCTGACAGCATGGGAGTATGGGGGCAGAGGCAGGTCTTAAGAAAAGAGGAGTCAGGACATTTGAACCCTGGGCCCCTGGTTAGGTATGGAGCAGGAAAACTCAACTTCTCACCTCTATATATGACTGTTGTTTAATATGCTGAGAGAAGGTGTGTTGAGGGAGTTGGAGTAGAGACAGGAGGGAGTTGATTTGAGAGGCCTTTAGCCCAGCACCCCCGACTGGAGGAGGATAACACAATAGCTTTCTGGGGTCTTCAGTGCACAGTGAGGATGATGCCATTCTCATCTCTGTTCTAACTTTCAACCCCAGGCTGTCTCAGGTTCAGGGAGAGGCAGTGAGAGAGCCAGGTGGTTGCCATGGAAACACAGCATCTCAACAAAGCCTGGTACCCAAAAATGGCTAGAGGGACTTGGGATCAGACAAGGAAGAGGAGTATGTTAGAGAGAGGGCAAGAATTGGGCAGATGAGGGCAGAGGACAGTAGGGAGGAGAAGCCGCCTCCCTCCGATATCAGCCCTCTTTGGCCAGAGAGAGAGAGGAGCCAAGGCAGAGCTCCTCATGTTAGAGGGAGGCTTCTTTCTGATTTCTTCTGTTTCCCAGCGTCCCCTAAACACACAGGCAGGAAGTGCTCTCTTCAGCCCCTCCTCATCCCTCCTGTTGCACGACAGGGTCAGGAGTGGCGCTTGGGCGAATAACAGAATAACCCCGGCAGAGTGTGCTGACCAGAGGGTCAGACCCCAGCCTCCAGCCCTCTTTCTTCTCAGCTCCCCAGTAGGTGGCGGGGAGTGGGGGGGGCACTAGTCCTTGCCACATCTCTGAGCTAAATATACTCTAGCAGTTTGCACATGTAGCAACTCTGTTTGTAATCTGAGCCCCCTGGGGGAACGGGCAGTGTGGGCCACCCCTAGGCCAGCAGGGCCAGGCTCTAAGGGCGCCGGGATGGAGGCGCCCAGTCGGACCCTCGTGGTGGTGAGCTGGGGCGGGGGCGGGTGGGAGGGGTGGGTGGAAGCTGCCAGGGGCCTCGCCCTGGTCTAGTGCCTTGCCTCCCTCCTCGCTGTCTCCCTGGTTCCTGGCATTTCTGACTTCTCCGTGGATGTGTGCGTGTGTGTGCTGGGGTTCCTAAGTGCCTCTCTGCCACCCGGGTCTGGGCTTCTGGGCGTCTGTCTCCCTGACTCTGGTGCCCCCTGAGGTGGGGCGGAGAGTGGCAGATTAGCTGCTCTTGACTCTTCCTCTTTTGAGTCTCTTTCCCAGCTTCTACTAGTGGCCTCTTCCTCCTACTCCCTTTTATCCCATTTTCATGACTTGGCTGGGAAAGGATGGACATCTGCACTAGCCAATGGTCAGGGTCCTCTGGGGCAGGCGGGCTTTGTCTTCTGTCCTTCCCAGGGTCTCTGTTTATGTAGCTAACCGGCAGTCCTGGCCGAGCGAGCGAATCCCTCCTGCCCTCAGGAAGCACCCTCACACCTCTGCAGTCCCGCTCTTCCCCTGGGGGGGGGTGCTGCCAGCCCCTCGTAGCCCTGCCGCTGCTGCACAGCCACACGTCCATGCTGCCCGCTCTTGCCCTCATGTGCCACTCACCCTCAGGTCACCTCGGGCACCCCCCGAATGTGCTCAGGTGCGCACACCCAGCACATAGCCTAGAACACACCCTCCTAGAAACCCCTGCGGTGCACGCGCACACCCCCTTGAAGAAACTTGTTCATTCACTTCCAGGTCTGGCCAGGCTGCGCCAGGCTTTACTCATGTGCCCGTGTTCCCAGAGGAGTTCCTCATGCCCTGGATGGTCCTTGTGGGCACAGCCAGCTTCCTGGCATAGTCAGAACCCATGAGACTGTTTTAAGCCTGGCCACCAGCGGCCTCGTGTTGGGAAAAGGCCTGTCTGCTCCCTGGCCTCTTCCTGCACCATTCCAGGAACCTTGGTTTCTGTTTGGTGTCTTATGAGAGTCTGGGAGTTAGGACGCTCCTGATTCTGACAGAGGAGGTAGGATTTGTATTGTCCTCATGTGTAAGCAGAAGAGAGGTGTCCCCTCATGCCCCACAGGCTGCTCCCTGCCAGCAGTGTGGTGAGCTGGCTGCAGTCAGCTCACTGGGCCTCTGCTGCGTCTCCCTCAGCCAGTGCTGGGGCAGAGGAGGGATGGAGGAGCCTGGAGTGGAGACTGTCACCTGGCACTCCTCCCCGCACTCTACCCTATCAGGTTCCCATCCCTCCCTGGCCTCCAAGCAGCTGTCCTTGGCCCTGTCTTAGCCTAATGCCCCGCTTGCTGCCGTCATCCTTCTGGGGCCACACTCTTTCCAGGCCTGAAGCCTCAGCCCCTGCTCCTCCAATCTATTGCCATCCTCTGGCCCTCATGGCATCACGCCGTGCAGGCTGGGACGGAGCACCTACGACGGGTGGGGCCTCCGTGCCTTCCGAGGCCAGGGCTGAGGAGGCAGTGTTGCCTCTGAGCTGCTTCTCTGTCTCCAGGGCTCGGCGGAGTCCTACACCAGCCGTCCGTCAGACTCTGATGTGTCTCTGGAGGAGGACCGGGAAGCCTTAAGGAAGGAAGCAGAGCGCCAGGCATTAGCCCAGCTTGAGAAAGCCAAGGTGAGAAGGAGGAGGCGCTCTGCTGGCCTTATCCCACAGTTCCCGGCTGTCAGAGAAAGCCTGAGTGGACCCATGGTCATGTCTTGGCCCAGCTGCTTCCTAGCTGTTTGCCCCTGGGCCTCTCCAGATGCCTGTTTTTCCAGTAAAATATGAATACTTAATATTTTATAGCATTTACCTATAAAATATGGGCTATAATACCTGCTTCCTCATATAGCATTGTAAGTGCTAAAAATTTCCACTTCTTTCTGAAATCACGCTTCCTGGGCTAACTCTTATTAGCTAAGTGATCTTAGATACGTCACTTAGCCTCTCTGAATGCTAGTCTTCTCAGCCATTAGAATGAAGATAGTCACAGTATTTAACCTCATGGGGTTTTGTCATAAACACGTGAGCTAACACGGGAAGCCCCTCTAACACGGTACCTGGCCACAGGTCTTATTTTGGACCCACCGTGGATCCCTCTTCCCTGATGCCCTCCCCCATCCTGAGAGGCCTGAATTCTATTTTCAGCTTCCTTTTTTTTTTTTTAATGGTGCAATTCAACCTATATACAAAAAACTACAGAAACACTTCAGTACACATTTTAATGAACAAGTTGCAAAACAGATGTCTGCATCCCCACCTCCCTGCTCAGGCAGGCACATGTCACGCTGTGGTTTGTTTTCCGGGTGCACATCTCTAGACCAAGCCGGTGGCATTTGCTGTGCGGACAAATGTGGGCTACAACCCGTCTCCAGGGGATGAGGTGCCAGTGCATGGAGTGGCCATCACCTTCGAGCCCAAGGACTTCCTGCACATCAAAGAGGTGGGAGCAGGGCTTGGCGGCCGGAGGGAGGTCAGGGGAGTGGGGGTCTAGTGGAAAATGATTTTTTTTTTAATTTATTTATGCACACAGAACTGGGATACAGGCTAGAGGTGTAGGTCAGTGAGAAGATTCACCAGAGACAAGAGTGGGGAGCAGAACAGGCAGTCTGATGAAGCACTCTGCTGAGGGGAGCAGCGGGCAGGTCAGGAGAGGTCTGCTGGGCCATGTGGGTCACCTCCCTGGCTGGGGATCAAACTCACGCTGAAGCAGCTGCATCTAGCTTCATAGTTCTGCACTTTAACCCACTGCACCACTAGGGAGGGCCCGGAAAATGATTTCTGAGCCAAGCAGAGCTGGGCTGAATCTGCTGTGTAACCATAAACAAATCTCTCCATCTTGCTGAGCCTCTTTTTAAAAAATATTTGTTTATGCATATAAGAGCTGATGTGAAGGCCAGAGGTGCAGGGTGGGGGAATGAGAGAATGCACCAGAGACAGAGTGGGGAGCAGAACAGGCAGAGTGACTGAAATACATTGCTGAGGGGAGCAGCAGGCGGGTCAGGAGGGGTCTGCTGCGCCCTGTGTATCAGCATCCTGGCCGGGGACCAAAGTTGTGCTGCGGTGGCTGCAGATAGCTTTAACCCCTGCGCCAGTGGGAGGCCCTGAGCCTCTAATTTTTTTATTGGTGAAAGAGGGTGTAATGCCTTGGTCACAGGTTGTCTGAAGAGTTTGTGACAAAGCCTGCAAGAGGAGTGGAATGTGCCAGGCACAAGCGTTTACACCTTTCCAGGGCAGGGTGGGACAGAAGGGGAGAAAGGAATCTCAGAGTGGGGGTATGCTGGGTTCTGTGACCTAAGCTCATGCTGCCTCTGGGGTAGCCCTGAAAACTGGGGGCTTCATTCAGAGGCTGGAGCCAGGGGTGGGGTCTGTGGCAGTGCTACCACCTGGCTGTGGTGGGCAAGTGCACAGTGTGCCGCCTGGAGGCTGGCTGCTGACTTGCACCTCCAGTTTCCCCCTCGGTTTCTCCCCTCTGCCTGCCGTTTGCAGAAGTACAACAATGACTGGTGGATCGGGCGACTGGTGAAGGAGGGCTGTGAGGTCGGCTTCATCCCCAGCCCCGTCAAGCTGGACAGCCTGCGCCTGCTGCAGGAGCAGAAGCTGCGCCAGAGCCGCCTCAGCTCCAGGTGTCTGGCTGGGGGGCACTCAGGAGTACCCCTTGCCCCCAGGGCACCGAGCCCCTGTGGTGAAGGAGAATGGAGGGAGGTGGGCAGGGTGGGCAGCTTGTGAGAGAACAAGATTCCCCACCCTCACGCCCACCCCTTGCTCACAGCTCCATTTGCCTCTCTGCCCACACAGCAAATCAGGTGACAACTCCAGCTCCAGTCTGGGAGACGTGGTGACTGGCACCCGCCGCCCCACGCCCCCTGCCAGTGGTAAGAGCTGCTGCCATCCCCGGGAGTGAGGAGGGGCTCCTGGGTGGGGTGGTCTCCCCACTGCCTGTCCCCTGCTTTCCCTGCAGTAAGGGACACCCCAGCCCTGAGACCTCCAAACAGACCCAGTGGTACCCCCTCCTCAAAGAGTAGGCTACCCCACAAGCTGGGCCATCAGCGCCCATCCTCTCATGTCTCTCCTTCCCATTTCTTTGGTAGCTCCATCTCTGTGCCTGACTCCCTCCCCACCCCCCGTTCATTTCTCCCAGTCCTGTTCCATTCACCTCTTCTTCTTTCTTTTTTTCCCATCCCATCCCTGCGTTCTGTATTTGTGTCTCCATGTCCATTTTACTCCTTCTCCCCACCTTGCCTCCCATTTCCCTCTCTCCTGACTCTCGTCCAGGTAACGAAATGACTAACTTTGCATTTGAACTAGACCCCCTAGAGTTAGAGGAAGATGAGGCGGAGCTGGGGGAGCCGAGCAGCTCCGCCAAGACTAGTGTTAGCAGTGTCACCACCCCGCCGCCCCAGGGCAAACGCATCCCCTTCTTCAAGAAGGTAATTCTTGCCGGCAAGAGGGGGAGGGTTTGCAGGGCCCAGCTTTTTTGGGGTGGGGGGAGCTGGAATGGTTTCTGATGTGGTACCAGGTTGATTCTGTGGGGAGCAGGGCTTCCTGCGGAGGGGACGGGAGGGGCGGCAGGGTGCATTGAGAGCAGGTGCCTCCATCTTCATCTCTGTCCACATGCTGGCCCCCTCCCCAGAAGGGGATGGTGCGACAGTCTAAGCATCTCTCCCATGGAAGTTTCCCCAGTGTTCCCTACGCAGGGTTGCTGGTAACAAAACCTGCCCTTCCCAGCCACTACTCTGAAATATTCCCTTTGCCCACACCCACGCAAGTGAAGGGGAGAGCAGAATGGTGACCCTTCTTTGCCCTTTTCAAGTGGGCACATGTGGGTCTACTGGCCACAGAGTAGGACAGTCATGGAAACCCTTAAAATGGACACGCTGGTGCGCACTGCACTTGGGGGCAGGACTTGGGCACCAAGTTAGGAGCTGTCGCCCTTCCCAGCTCATTTGCAAGACCCAGAAAGGGGCAGGGTGTGTCTGAACATTGCCAAGAGTATTGACGGATGTCAGTCCCGCTCCCAGCCCTGTCAGGCATGGGGTCCCCTCCCCCTCTCTGGCTCTGTCTGTCACTAACACGCATGCCTGTTATCTCTCCTGTCTGCTGCGGCTCTCCCTCCCTCTCTTGTCCTGGCCCCTTCCTTACCCTCTGCCCCTGCCTGGGTACCCGCCCCTCTCTCCTCCTCCTTCCCCCTCTTGGCAATCTCTGGACCCAGCCAAACAGAAGCAGAAGTCGGTGAGTATCACAGCTTTCCGTGTCCCCTCCCCATCCCCTGGGATGAGCTAGGGGGACCTTCTAACATCCACTCCCCTATCTGCCCCCCACTTCCCCCACCCTTCCTGTTTTCCCTGGCCATCCCTCCCAACCCCCACCCGATCCCCACATCTGGGTTTTGGGATGGGGGAGGAAAAGGATGCATGGGGGAGTCTGGAGGCTGGGGGAGAGGGGCTAATGCCATATCCACTCTGGGGTTTCCCCTCCCTGCTTCCCCCCAGACAGAGCATGTGCCCCCCTATGACGTGGTGCCTTCCATGAGGCCCATCATCCTGGTGGGACCGTCGCTCAAGGGCTATGAGGTAGGAGCCCCTAGAGGGATGTGACGCAGAGGGGCCAAGACCTCCAGAGACTCCACAGAAATCTTTGGACCCCAGAGAGATGCCCCAGAAAGCCCAGAGTCCTGGAGTGTCCTCCCTAGAGGGTGACACTCTTCTAAGAACCCCCTCAGGCCCTTAGGGAGACTATGCAGAAGGGTCCAGACTCCTTAGTCCTCAAACCCCCAGAGAGCTCCCAGCAAGATCACCTAGACAGACCTTTGGAACCAGAGACCCCACAGGAGGCCCGACAGACCCAGGAGGAGCTCCTCCACCCCTAGGGGTTCATTCATCTGAGAAGAAAGTAGAACTTGAGAGTACAAGCCCCTGGCAGCCCAGCCCCCTGAGTAGCCCTAAACCCCTGACTTCCCTCCCTACCCCCTCAGGTTACAGACATGATGCAGAAAGCTTTATTTGACTTTTTGAAGCATCGGTTTGATGGCAGGTAAGGCCCCGGGGGCTGACTCCCCTAGTTCTCTGCTGCTGGGGGTAAGGGCATGGGCCAGTGGCGTAGACTATAACCTCGGGGCTCTTAGACTGGATAAGAGGGGCCTGGAGAGTGGACAGGGCACTCCAGCTTCCCCTGACCCCTGCCACCCCTGGCCCACCCTCCAGGATCTCCATCACGCGCGTGACGGCGGACATCTCCCTGGCCAAGCGCTCCGTCCTCAACAACCCCAGCAAACACATCATCATCGAGCGCTCCAACACACGCTCCAGCCTGGGTGAGCCCACCTCCCTCAAACCAGTGTCTGCCCACCAGGGCCAGCCGTGGGAGGGGAGAGTGGGGAGGCCTCTCCAGAAGTGCTCTCTCAGCCCACTGCCTCCAAGGGTGCCCTGACAGCCCATGGCCCGTGTCTCCCAGCTGAGGTTCAGAGTGAGATCGAGCGGATCTTTGAGCTGGCCCGGACCCTTCAGTTGGTTGCCCTGGACGCCGACACCATCAACCACCCAGCCCAGCTCTCCAAGACCTCACTGGCCCCCATCATTGTTTACATCAAGATTACTTCTCCAAAGGTGGGTGCAGGAGCCCGACCCTGTGGGGACAGGAGTGGTCTGGAGTTGTGCTGCCTCGTTTAAATCCTAGCTGCTGCGTCATAACCGTCTCCCTGAACCCCAGTTCTCTTCTCTGTGAAACTCCACCAAACAGTATTGTAAAGACGCAGCCTAATACCAGTGCCGGGCACTCAGCAAAGTTTGGGTATAACAGGCCTCATCATCACTGTGAGGGCCACCTGGCCAGTCGCGTGTCCATTCTGGTTGGCCTCTCATACTTGGTCCAGAAAAATGGAAAGGATTCCGTGTTTTGTCCCAGGGTCACCCAGCTACTTGGCACCTGGAAGGTCTTTCCTGTCCCCGATGGGACCATGTAGTGGTGAGGTGGAGTCAGGAGGAAAGCCGATTTACTTAGTTGTGTTCCCTCAGAGACGTTAGCGGGGCCTTGACAAACGTGGAGTGAGTTTAGGCAAAGGACTTGAAGTTAGAAGACAGCACAGGGTTTGAATCTTAGCTCTTGCTGCTTATTAACCAATTCATTACAGTTTTGTTTTGTTTTTTGGACTTGGGACCCTAGTGGGGGGCCTTATTTAGTTTCTGAGTCTCAGTTCCTTCACCTAAAAAATGGGGGTTATAATCTCCCCTTGTCCTATGGTAGAGAAGGCCAGAGATAACCATGCAAAGAGCCCAGCGACTGGGTTAGGGTGCAGCCAGTGGTCGTGACTGTTCCTCACAGTATGCTGTGAGCTGGCACCCTGGGCCAGTCACCTGACCTCTCAGGCCAAGTTTCTCACAAGCATGAAGGGGATAATAGAGCTTAAGGATAGGGTTCTTGAAAGGTCAATTGAAACAATGAATGCAAAGACATTTTTTCAACTAGAAAGTAACATACTTCATTTCCCTACAGAGGAGACTGGCTGGAGTATAGGCCGGATGCCGCCTCCTGCTCTGGTGCCTCTGCTAGTCTCCTCACTGTGCTCCAGTTCCTTGTGTACAGAATACGGATCCTGAAATGGCAGTTGTAAAAATGAAATAATTAATTATGCAAAGTCCCTCATAACTACCAAGCACTGCATCCCTTCTCTAATTTTTCAAAGATTTTTATTGTGAAATCATTTCAAATGTTTTGAAGAATAGTTCAAGGCCTTCAGTCAGATTCACTAATTTCAACAGCTTCACTGAGTTACATCCTTTCATTCAAGTCATCTAAAGTATAAAATGCAGTGTTTGCCAGTTTCACTTATTTTGGACATAATCACATTTACTTTATTTTTATGTCTGTGTGTCAGTATTCCTGTGCTCATCTCACACATACATGTATATAGATTTCCCCCTGGGCAACTTGAGATAAGTTGTAAATATTGTATGCCTTTACCCCTGTATATCTCAACAGGTGTTTTTTTTTTTTTTTTAAGATTTATTTATACATACAGAACTGGGGTACAGGCCAGAGGTGCGGTGGGTGAGAGGATTCACCAGACACAGAGTGGGGAGCAGAACAGGCAGACTGACTGAAATATACTGTTGACGGGAGCAGCAGGCAAGACAGGAGAGGTCTGCTGTGCCATGTGGGTCACCTCCCTGGCCAGGGATCGAACTCGTGTTGCAGTAGCTGCAACAGCCTCACAGTGCTTTAACCTGTTGTGCCACCAGGGAGGGCCCATTTTTTAACAAGTATTTTTTAAGACCAGGGACATTAACTTACATAACCATAGTACAATTCAAGGAATGTTATCTAAACGCATTCCATATGCAGCTTTTACCAATTGTCCCCATTGCACCCTTTATTGGCACCCTCCCCCTCCACCCAGGAACCAATCCAGGATCGTGCTTTACATTAGTTGTCAGTTAGGCTGGAATCGTTCCTCAGCCTTTCTCGGTTTTTCATGACACGGCCATTTTTGAAGAGTACAGAGCTCTTATTTTCGAGACTATTACTCAGTTTGCATTTGTCTGCTGTCTCCTTATGACTAGATTTAGATCTTACATTCTTGGTAGGAATTTCACCAAAGCACTGTGTCCTTGTGAGTGCCCACCATCAGGAAGCACTGGACGTGGGCTTGTTACACTGTGGGTGGTATTAGGTTGTGTCTCTGTTTTAGTCATTATTTTCATTATGATTGAGAGTGATAAATGGTAGCTACCGATGGGATTATGGGCAAGACTAAGTCTTTGCTCCTGTAAAAATCACAGCATACAGTAGTGCCCGGTCGAGGGGCTGTTGTTAATGTGGAGGGGGAGTTGGCTTGGAGAATGAGCCTTTAAACAGGGCCAGAGGTTGGGGAGGAGAATCACTGCCCTTCATGCAGCCTCTGATGGGAGAACGTCCAGGAGAGCCTGGCATGAGACCCAGGAGAGCTTGAACATTGTGGAAGAGGGACACAGGCGGTCATTTCTGAAGAGGAATCACTGAACATTACCCCCCTGCCCGCTCCCAACGTTGGCTCTCCACGGTGGCCCCAACTAGGACCTGCCTTTCCCACTTGCCAAGTCGTCGTGGAGTCCCTCCAGCTCTTCTTCTTTCCAAACCAGGTACTCCAGAGGCTCATCAAATCTCGAGGGAAGTCTCAGTCCAAACACCTCAATGTCCAAATAGCGGCCTCGGAGAAGCTGGCGCAGTGCCCCCCTGTGAGTGCTCAGACCCAGGGGGTGGGGGGATTTGGGCCTTTCCGGTTTCCCCTGATCTTCACGGGACACGGGACACGGGTCACGGGGTGACCAGGACCAGCTGGGCCAAATCCGTAGGTACCTGCCAGTCCTCGGGGAAAGAGCACTAGCCGCGTCAGAAGCTGGGCTCAATCCCAAAGCACCACTTCTCCGTGGGCGGTCAAGGCCCCCTCCAAGCCGTGGGTGCCTTATGTCTGGAGAGAGGGAGCTGGGCTAGCGGGGTGCCGATGTATACAGTTGAGAGTCGCCCCCCTCTTTCTGGTGATCCAGGTCTCTTTCATTTTACCCTTCAACCTCTTGGCTCCACCCTCACCCCATGGCCACGCCTGACACCTGCCCCGCCCCTAACCCCGCCCCGCAGGAAATGTTTGACATCATCCTGGACGAGAACCAATTGGAGGATGCCTGCGAGCACTTGGCGGAGTACTTGGAAGCCTATTGGAAGGCCACACACCCGCCCAGCAGCACCCCGCCCAATCCGCTGCTGAACCGCACCATGGCTTCCGCAGCCCTGGCTGCCAGCCCCGCCCCCGTCTCCAACCTCCAGGTACAGGTGCTCACCTCCCTCAGGAGGAACCTCAGCTTCTGGGGCGGGCTGGAGGCCCCGCAGCAGGACGGGGCGGTGCTCCAGCAGCAGGAACACGCCATGTAGCTCTGCCCTGCCATCTCCCCTGAACCCAGGGCTCGGAACTGGAGAGCAGGGAACACGGGAAAGGAAGGGGAGAACTTTTATTTTGTAAAAAATGTGGTGAGCGGCAGCTTCTGGTGTCTGTGGTTTTTGCTGGGGTTGGGGCTGACGGTGCCTCCCTGGGCTGCTGCCTTCGGGGCTCTTGGATGTGAGGCCAGCTTGGGGTCCCTAGAAGACAAGGGTCTAGGAAGAAGACACGAGGGAGACTGATGGATTCATTTGTCCGATTCCCACGGGCAGCGAGAAACAGCCCCTCCCCCAGGCCCCTAGCCCCTGAAGTAGCCCGCAGAAGGGACCCCGAATGTGGCATCTCCTGTAAGCTGATGCTTTACAGTTCATCCTTCTCCCAGTTGAGCCATTCCAGGAAAGGCCTGTGGGTGCCCCACCCACACTCCCCCTCTCCCTTGGGAGCCATGGCCCATCTCTGAGATCATACCATTACGTAGTTGGTTCTACATTAGAGCCAAAAGCAACCCGTGAAATCATTCTAGAATGTTGCTTTTCAGACTTGTTTCCTGTAAGCAAGCCTGTTTGACCGCTCTTATGTGGAAGCTCAGTGTGTAGACAAGGCAGCCTTGCTCTGCCCAGGAGCTAGAGCGTGGCCTCCCTTTGGTCTCCACGGGGCCTCTTGAAGCACTAGGTAGGGCCCTTCCTACCCTACTGCAGATCTCCAGGGGGCAGTTTGGACATTTGTTCTAGTCCAGTCCCCATCACACTGTGTAAAGAAACTGGACGACAGAGGGAAAGGGAACCATTTTCTCAGTCACATAGTTTGAAGTGGCAGGCGTGGGACTAGGACCCACACCTCTTTGCAGCATTTGTGGTACAGTGCTAGTTTGCCTGTGTGTGGCATTTGATGAGGAGGACATTGGGCCACCTCACAGTCTCAGTGGGGCTTGGAGACTCATCAGCCTTTCCCACCCTGCTGCCAGGAGTGTTCACTGCAGGCAGGGGAAGAATCCGCTGGAGACTGTCTTCTGACTAGAGAAGCTGGGGGGAGCTGGGAAGAGGGGGTGGGTTTCTGGAAACCTGTAGTTGGGGTCTGGGTTGAGCTGGGGCTAGTGAACTTGAGCTGAAACCCCACCTGTAGTATATTTGGAGAATTGGGGCAAAGGCTAACTCCATCAACCACTAACAAGTGGCAGTACTAATGAGCTGCTAATGATGGTTGCCCCAAGACAGTTTTAATTACAAGCGCAAGCTGAGGAAGTAGTGACTGACTTCATGGGCTCTCTACCTGGTTACCAGGAGCCACCACGCCTCCTCTTGCCTTAGGACGGTTGGGCGCCCTCTGTCCCAATAGAGGAGCAAAGGCCCTGTGGAACCCCTAGAGCCAGCAGCCGCCTCCTACAGCCAGGCGTGGAGTCTGGGTGCTGTCACTAACCTGCCTTGCTTTGTGTTTCTCTCACCCCTGCCTGATCTGCATGGTGTGCCGTCTGTCTGCTAACCAGGGACCCTACCTTGCTTCCGGGGACCAGTCGCTGGAACGGGCCACCGGGGAGCACACCAGAGTGCACGAGTACCCGGGGGAGCTGGGCCAGCCCCAAGGCCTTTACCCCAGCAGCCACCCACCAGGCCGGGCGGGCACTCTGCGGGCACTGTCCCGCCAAGACACGTTTGATGCCGATACCCCTGGCAACCGAAACTCTGCCTACACGGAGCTGGGAGACTCGTGTGTGGACATGGAGACTGACCCCTCAGAGGGGCCAGGGCTTGGAGACCCTGCAGGGGGCAGCACCCCACCAGCCCGGCAGGGGTCCTGGGAGGATGAGGAAGAAGACTATGAAGAGGAGCTGACCGACAACCAGAACCGTGGCCGGAATAAGGCCCGCTACTGCGCGGAGGGTGGGGGTCCAGTTCTGGGCCGCAACAAGAATGAGCTGGAGGGATGGGGGCGAGGTGTCTACATCCGCTGAGAGCCAAGGGCCAAGCAGTGGGAGGATGGGCTAAGCCCAGGGAGGGGAGGGACAGAGGGGCTCACCGCCTGGGTGCATCTTGCCTCCAGGGGGCGCTGTCTCCTTTCAAATGCCTTTGCTCAGCGTTTGTGGTCTTTGGGGGTAGCAACCCAGCTCCTGGGGGTCCCTTAGGCCACAGCTGTGGGTTTTTACCTACCTGCCATGGATGGATGGGGGGTTATGTCCCCTTTTCCCCACCTCAAGGGGTTCTCCCTCATTATCCCAGAGAAAAGGTGCATTTCCTATATACTATTCTGGGCTCTAAACCAGGATCTAAATGGGGTGGCCCTTTTCCCAACCTGGCGTATTTGGAGACAATAGGGACCTTTTCCTGGAGAAGGAGACCACAGAATATTCCCCACGAGGACGCTCTTCCTCAAACCCCAGACCCAGGCTCCCTCACTATGCCCACCTCTCTCCCCAACTTCCTGGCAGCATGGTCTGGTGAGTGAAAGCTACAGCAAGAGTGTCCAGCCCGGGAGTTAGTCTAGGGCAGGGGTGTGCGCAGGAAGTGGTAGGCTTCAGCTGTGGCGCCCTCTGCGGGCCCAGAGCCCAGAATCCCGAGGAGTGCCCAGACGCTGCCACCCACCTCCATGCCTGAGCCTTCACCTCCCCTGGAATGAGCTTTGCTTCCAACACCCCCCCTTGCCTGCTGCCATCAGAAGAGGGAGCCCCTCTGCCTCTGAGGCCCCATCTACCTGTCTCCTGGATGTGGATCCCATGGAACACTGGTCCGCCGCCTCATTTTGAAACCAAAAAACTGCTCCTTCACTCACCCTGAGCCCCTGGGGAGAGGCCCCCATGGGTTGGTGCCCAGGAGGTGAGCACCATCTCAGGGGGTGTCTTGGGACCTCTGGTCACCCTTGGGGGGTTTGGCTGCTGCTGCTGCTACTGCTCTGTATTTGCCTCTTGTGACCCTGTCTGTCACCTCATGTCCAGACCCTCGGAGAGGCCTTGGTAACCCCTCTGCCCTGGAGTGTCCTGCCTAGCATCCCTGTAGCCCAGCAGCCCTGCCCCTCCCCAGCCTCTAGCTGGGCCAGAGAGAGCCGATTGTGCCAACGAGGACTGGGCCCTGCCCGGCTGCCCACCTCGGGTGGGCTCCTCATGCCTGTCTCGCCACCTCCTGTGCCAATGTTGTCCTCCCCTCCCCCACTTGGGGTTGGGGTGCAGCTTCCACTTATGGTTAGAAGACACCCCTGCCCAACCTTCCTCCCTGTCTGGTGTCCTGTGCCCCCTCCCATTTGTCTGTCTGTACTCCCCTAGAAGTATTTTGCCACATATAAAACGCCATCGTGTCCTTTGCGGCCACCTCCGGAGCCTGTTTCTCTGTTCCTGCCACAGGTTGCCAGCCAAAGTATGTGGGAGCTGCTGACATGCAAGGGTCATTGAAGGTGGGCTGTGGGGGTTAAGCTGCGCCCCCAGTTCATGCAACAAGAGAGAGGGTGCTTTTCTCTAGCTCTCTGGCAGAAGCTCTAGGTCAGCCTCACCTCCCCATTCAGCCCCACACCTTACCTGCCTCCCCAGATATGGAGCCAGAGAAAAATGGGATGCTCCATGGGAAAGTGGGTTGTCGCTAAGTCAGGGCGTGGATACACCCCACTGACGTGGGTAAGACAGCCCTGTTTTCCTGCTCCTGTGGGCTCAGCTGCGCCCCCACACCTCAGGAGAGGGAGTGGCTGAGTTGGCTTCTTCACTGATGTCCACACAACAACCTCCCACCCATTCCCAGCTCCTGGGGGAGGGGAGGCCTACAAGGTGGGAGGGGCCGAGAAATTGGATATCCTCCAGCTGCAGCCTGAAAGAAAAGGTGAGGGAGAAAGCAGGTGACTGCCAGATTCTGCCAGGTGGCAGGATATGGACTCTTGTTACTGTGGTTGCCTGTACCAGACCATGCGTGGTGCCCACAAACCTTTTCTCCCGGCTCTTGTTCCTGGGGTGGTAGACCTGGAGGAGTAGAGCTCCTGCTTCACCTGAAAGCTCCTGCCCCAGGTGTGTGTGTGTCCCAGGTGTGTGTGTCCCAGGTGTGTGTGTGTGTGTGTGTGTGTGTGTGTGTGATGAGGACTAGAGCTCCTGCTTCACGTGAAAGCTCCTGCCCCAGGTGTGTGTGTGTCCCAGGTGTGTGTGTGTGTGTGTGTATGTGTATGTGGTGAGGACTAGAGCTCCTGTTTCACGTGAAAGCTCCTGCCCCAAGTGTGTGTGTGTGTGTGTGTGTGTGTGTGTGTGTGTGTGTGTGGTAAGAACTAGAGCTCCTGCCTCACCTGAAAGCTCCTGCCGCAGGTGTGTGTGTCCCAGGTGTGTGTGTGTGTGGTGTGTGTGTCCGTGGCCCACAGATCACATATCAGGTCAAAGGAGTGGCTGGCAGAAGCTGGCACTGCCAAGCCAGAACCCAGTCTGCTTCATGGTGTGTGGTGTGGTGTGGTGTACTTCCCACTCCTTGTCAAGGGAATCAGCTCTCCACCTGTTTATTCCCTGAGCATCTATGTGCCAGGCACACACATAATGGGAGCCACAGACAACTCAGGACTGCATCACAGGCTCGCAGATGTGGGAAGCACTGGGTATCATGGAAACCTGGAACAAAGGTCACCCATAAGCTGGGAAGTCAGGGAGCTTCCCAGTAGATTAGACTCTAGAAGAATAGTTAGGAGTTCATCCGGGTAGAGAAGTGGAGGTAGTTTACAGAGCAGAGGAAGCAGGTGACCCATGGGACACATTCTTAGTGCTTCACTAGCAAAGTGTGCTCACCAGGGGCAGAAGGAGCAGGTCATATGACCATGGGTCATGTTAAGGACCTTGGGCCTTGCCCTGAAGTTAATGTACAGAAATTGAAGGGTGGCAAGCAGTGAAGGCAAGATTACCTTGGTTGCAGTGGTGAGCATAGGTTAAGGGCCTTGCCTGGAAAGGGCCGCAGCACTCCAGGAGAGAACGAGGGAGGTTTGCAACAGATTGCAAGGGAGGAACAGGAAGGACACCTAGTTATTAGATCCAGAGTACCTGGGGAACATCTGGATGACTTTGAGGCAGTACCAGGTTAGAGGGAGAAAACACATTTAGCTTTGGACTAATTATTTATGGTCTCTGTGAGAGGAAATCCCAGAGAATAGGGTGCTGGTCTGGCCCCTGCAGAGAGCTCATTTGGGGGTACAGATTGTTAATGGCAGTTTACAGGTAAAGCTCAGAGAGGTTAAACAACTTGCCCATAGTTATGCGGCTATGGAACCAAGACTTGAACTCAGATCTCTGGTCCCACAAGTCTCCTGCTAATCCCCATGCCCCAGGGGGCCTCAGCCACACAGAAAGGCCAGGGAGGAGGAAACACATCTGGATATATTTCTGTTTCCCCATTCACCTTCTCCCTGAAGCTGTCTTTGCCCAGAACTTGCAGGCAGAGACTTTTCAAGGTGACTCGGAGATACTGAGAGATGGAGAGAGAGTCTTATCTCTGGGTAACCACAGGCCATCAACAGATGCATAGTGAGACCTTGGTGACTGTCACAAGTGAGGATTTCAACAACCATGAAGTCAGCGAGGGCCAGAGGCTGGTGTTACTACAGTTACTGTGGGGAATTGGAAACTGAGGCCCCTCCTGCCTGCTATCCCTCAAACTCCCTAACTGCTTCTGTTTTTGCAGTAGGCTTTATTCCACAAAGAGCTGAGACCAGAGAGGCTTCAGTCCTAGTATAGCTGAAGCTTTCAAGCAAAAAAGTGAGTTAAGCTGGGGCCACCATGGCTTGGAAGTGAAGGGTGTTCCAGTCTAGCACCCTAGAGAAAAATTTTGTCTTAGCCCCAATAATCACATCCTCAGAGAAGTGTGCCTTGGCTCTCTTCCAAATCAGGCTTTCCCACCCTATTGTCTCTCAGGGTTCTTTGTTCTGTAAGCTCCATATGATCCAGACTGGATCTGTTTTATCAATTTGGCATGTTTCCTGACTCCTGACTTGTATTTGTCAAATAAGCTAATAAATGAATGAATGCACCGAAGACCCGGGGCCTCATGGGGGAGACGGCTCTTGCTCTTCTTGTCTGTCTGCTGAATGTTCTCCAGCAGAACGTCACTTTCAATTCTGCAGTTAGTAGCGGTAGGGAGCAGGATGCACTAAGAGGTTCCTTCTCCTTGCCTATTCCCCAGAACCTGAGGATAAAAAGGCATAAGCATTACTCCTTCCTCCAGTACCCATCTGTGTCCCCAGCCTATCCCACCCTGCTCCTTTCTAGGGCTCATAAGGCTCTGGTAATAGATTCTCCTTCCTTCTGACTCTAGGCACCGAGCTGGGTGGGAGGGGAGGAGAATTCTGTATTTAGGGAACTTCTTTCCCCGACATACTTCCCAGCCTTCTTCAATCCTCTTCAACGTGTACTTATCCCTTGTTTTAATACTCTTATGTAATTTCTCTGGCTGTAGCTTAACTCATTATATTTTAGTCCAATTGCAATATACTCCTACCAAGTACCAAGTGCCAGGCACTGGACCCAGCCCAGTGGGGCAGATGTGAAGAGACATGAACCCACGGCCTGAGCTCACAGGTGCTCAGAGGAAACAGATTTGTCAGTCAACAACTTCAGTGTAGGGAGAAGCCCTACCTACCCCTTTGCCTGGAGACCCCTGGAGACCCAGGACTGAGCTTGGGAAGTAAATGGCTTTATGGCAGGCAGCTAAGTGGTTTCAGAAATACTTCCTAAGAAGCCAGTCTTTTAGGTAGAGGAATGCAGAAGCAGAAGCACAGTGGGTGAGAGCTGGGCATGTGTGGGCAAGGGCCAGTGGATGCAGAACACAAATCTGCAGAGGCAGGTGAAGGCAGTTCACAGAGGGCTTGAATGTTGGGGGAGGAGACAGCTGAAGCCAGTGGGCAGTGGGGACCCAGGGAAGGTTTGAGCTGCGCCTCTGGTAGTTAATGGGATGGTGAGGATGCCCCCGTTAAGCGGTAGGCAGTGATAGGGTTGACCATTTAGTGGAGGGGCGCACAGTGGCCTACAGGGGGTGGTGGAGTGGAAGGAGCAGGCGCTCGGGTGTGATGGTTGGCTTCTCCAGCCACCCCTCAGCCCGGGCTTGGTTTGCTTCCTCCACTTCCATCTTTGTTTCCCTCAGTTTAAACAAAGAAGGAAATTCACAAACTATAACAGATTCTGCCTTCCTCTCCTCACGCTCTCTTGGTCCAGGTTCCCCTCTGCTGGCTGAGAATCTGGGACTCCTCCGGGGCTCTCTTGCTGAGCAGGTCTCATGCTCCAGGCCTGTTTCAGACGCCCACCCTGAGGAAAAGCCACCAAGGCAATCCACTTATCAATGAACGCTAGAAGCAGCATACTTTGCTCCCATCAGTGGCCCATTACCAAGGGACCTGCAAGGAGAGGAGGGAGCTCACTTTGACAACACTCAAACTCCTGAAACTGCTAGAGGTCTATTGTCAGACTATTCTCCCTGTTCACAAAGGCTCCCTGAGCCTCTGCCGCAAGGCGGCTACAACAGGGTGGTGGTTCTTGCTGCTGTCTAGTGCCTAGAGGAGGCACGGCAAGACAGGGAAGCCTGGATGGCCTGGTGGGCTCTTGTGTGCAGTACCCTAGATTTGCAATGGAAGTACCCAGAGAACTCCGGAACTTTCTCAGATTGATAGGGAATATGGGGAGTCTGGAGGCCATTTTCTGGACTTCTAGGGGCCTGGACAGGTAGCTTGTTGTCATTTTAGGACCCAGGAGGGGGCCAGCGACCCCAGGGTTTCCTAGCCCGGCTGGTGACAAGTGGGGCCTCGGTGACCTCATCGGCAAATTTGCCAATCCTCCCGGGGCGGCAGGGGTCGGGGGGCTCCGACCCTCGGGCCGGATTGGTGTTGGCGAGGACCACGGAGTCCCAGCCTCCGCCTGGCGGAGTCCGCCATCCGAAGGCTAAGTTAATGGGCGTACTCGTGAAAAAGGGTAAGGGGCACACATATTTTCCAAGGGACTCCTTTAACCCCTCTCTCTCCTGGGGCTCCCCTGATCCGGAGTCGTCCGGCAGAGGCGCCCGAGGCGGGGAACCTCGGGCTTGGAGGGTCCTGCCTGCGCGCTCCTCGCGGGCTCCGCAGTCTCCCCACCTCCTCTCACCAGCCCCTCGCTGACGGCGCTGGGCTGGGACGGCGTTTCAGCTCGCCCCAGGGCTCAGGACTGAGCCAGTCTCCTTCTCCCTGCTTCCCCCCCACCCCCACCTTGCACCCCTTTCCCGCGGTTGCACTTGGTGCTGGCTCTTTCCCGGAGACCCCTTCTTTGGGCAAGCACCGAGCCGAGACCCCTGGGACTTCAGCTTTTCTGGAAACGTGGAGCGGGGCAGGTGGGACTCTGCGCTCGTTTTCACTATCCGGAAATGAAGCAGATGTCCGGGGCCCGCGGGAAGGATTGTGTGTGTATTGGTGGAGTAGGGTGGGGTCAGAGGTCCCCCAGCCTGCTGGGTCCACTTGACTCCTCCCTGGGAGGCTTGGTGGGACAAACAGGCCCTAGGTCATCGACTTTGGCCCTGACCCTGTCTGTGCCTCAGATGCCGCCAGAGCACAAAGTTATCCTGGGACTGGTCAGTGCAGGAAAGACCACCATTCTCTACCAGTTGTAGGTGCTTCTCAGATGGGGAAAAGCGTGTGTGTGTGTGTGGGGGGCGCGCGGTGAGGGGGTCCCTGGCCTTCCCACCAGATTTGGACCAATCACCGGAGCCCATCCTTAGGTTTTCCGGGTTTCCCTATAGTGAGGAGAGAGGGGGGTGGCGGTGTGACCTTCCTGGTATAGGGTGTCGGGGTGTTAAGTGGCCCCTCAGCCAGGCATTGGTTACTGCTCGTGTGGGGAATCCTCCCCTCCCCCACCTCCCCACTCCCCTCCCCCAGCTGCCAAAGCCTTGTCTGGTTTGACACTTTTTCTTCCTGCTCTGTGTTCCCCCAGCTCCACGCTCCCACTTGCGGCAAGTGTTTCCTTCCAACTCCTGCACCCCGCCTTCGTCTCTTCATTGTCTCTCCCTTTCTTCAAACCCAAAGGCGAACTAGCTTAATTTTTTTCTTGAATTAGAAGAAAAGGAAAGAAGCCACTCAGTACAAGAATATGTATCCCTCTCACTCCTAGCCCCCAGCTGTCCTCCCCAGACCTGCAAAGGCATTCCTGGTGTGTAAATGCGTTGTGGTTTGTGTCGCTTTAAACAATACACCTGTCTGATGGCCTTCACATGTGTATTTTTCCTACTCCCTTCCTCCTCCAAGTGTGGTCCGCTGGCAGCACTGGCATCATCTGGAGACATTTTAGAAATGCAAAAACTTTGACTCTCCCTCCCCCCACCTGCATTTTAATGCAACTCCCAGGTGATTCCCACTGCATGTTCCAGCTGGGGCGACTGCTCTAAGTCCCCATCTCTGGGTGGGAGCCAGGGCAGGACTTGGTCTCCTTTCGTCCCTCCTCTGTGCCCAGCAGATGCTCAGGGAACTGGACTGAGTTAGATTCAGCCTGACTTAGGAGCAGAGCTGGCAATGGGCTGAGATGAATTCTTGCCACTCTTTCTCCTTCCCCAGCCTGATGAACGAAGTGGTCCATACACACTCCACCATCGGCGGCAAGGTGGAGGAGGCTGTCCTGCAGAAGACTCATTTCCTCATGTGGGACTTCAGGGGACAGGAAGCTCTGAACGCTGTCTGGACTGTGGACTACTTCAACGTGGAGGTGAGGAGGTGCTTGGCCTGGAAGGGCCTCCAAGGCAGCTGTGTGACATTAGCTAGTTACTTAACCTCTCTGTGTCTCCCACTTGTGAGGTGGAGCTTCATAATAGCCTCCCTTGGTGGTGGTAAAATTAAAAAATAAAACAACTGTAACTGCTTATGTGTCAAATGCTGTGGCCAGCACAGTGTCTGATAACTTGCTGGCCTCTTTCTGCTGGATGCATTGCTTGGGTAGGCCCTTCATTGCCACAGGTCTTACTTTCCCATTCAGGTAGTAGCAGAATTCAGTGCTTTAATTCCTGGAGTTCAGATTCCAGCTCTGCCACCCACGAGCTGGGTGGTGGGCAGCTGAGGGCAGCCTTAGTCACCTCACTGAACCTAGTCTTGGCATTTGTGAAATGGGGGTCAATATGGCTCCACTTCCCAGGGCTGTGGGAGGTCTAAATGGAGCCCTGATTGCCTGGTGCTGAGCGCAGCTTCTGGCAACAAGCAGAACCTGGGCTTGTACCCAGGTGTGGGGGAGGGGGACTAGGTCATTGAGATCTTGAAATGGGACAATGTTTTTCTGGGGGGCTTGCTTTTGGGCAGTGCAGAGGTCAGTGAGGGAGCACAATGGACTGGAGACGCCATCACCAAAGAGAAAGCCCACCACTTACAGTCCCCCTCTGCTGCTCAGTTCATCATTCTTGTGATTGACAGCACTGACGGGCAGCGACTGCTGACCACTGGGGTGAGCTCCACGAGATACTGTCCCATGAGGTAAGCCCCTGGTGGCTGGGAGGGTCCTGCGTACTAGCTGTGGACCTCAGCCTATTCACCTGACCTCTCTGAGCTTCACCCCTGATGCCCCAATCTCTGAGAGCCTCTCTTCCCTCAATGTAGACAGGGATATTTGATCTCAGATGAAGCACAATAATGCCCTCAGCACAATGGGGCCCAGTATTGCTTGGTCCAAGTCCTAACCCTACCTCCTACTCATTGTGGGGTCCTGGACAAGTCACTGCATCTCTGCAAGTTTCCACAAATATAAAATGAGGAAGATCACCAAACTCTATCACCTGGCACTGTCGAGATGCCCCCCTGGGCTGGTGGGAGGCGCCCACAGCGGTGGTGTTATTTGCTGTGGCTGCTGCTGTTGCAGGCCAGTCAGGGAGGACTCACGGGGTTATGAGAAGGGAGGCTGGGCCTGGCAGAATGGGCAGGACTGAAATCCTCTGTCCACAGCCCTGTGAGATGCTTCTGTTCTGATCTTTGCCAACAAGCAAGATATGAAGGACTCTATGACCACTGTGGAAATCTCCTAATTCCTCACCCTCAGTAACATCAAAGATCACCCATGGCACATACAGGGTTGCTGTGCACTCACCAGAGAAGGGTTAGTGGCTGCCCTACATGGACGTCCAGGGCTCAGTCCAATCAATGGACAACTGTCTATCAGCACCTTCTTCTGGCAGCATCTGGCTGAAGTTAGATCCTGGGTCAAGTCAAGCTGAGCATGGCCCACAACTGAGGTGATGTGGGTCAGCAAGCAGTGAGCAAGACAGAGTCCATGCTGTCAAAGGGAAGACAAAGTCCTTGCTCTAGTGAGGAGTGGGTTGACACTCCACCGAAACCCCAACATTTGAGATAGTGTAACTGGAAGACTAAAGCTTGGGCCGCCTGTCACTACCAAATACCCATAGGGACAAGAATCGAATCTTTCAGGTGCACATTAATCAGATAGCCAGCAATCTGGAAGACGGGGTTTATCATCCTAAAGGAACTGCCTGAACTTTTCATTTCCAGTTGGTTTTTTATGAGTGGAACAAGGGCAGTTCAACAGTAAGCAGCCTTCAATGCTGCCAGGAGCTCGTGAAGTCCAGCCCAAGGAATCACCCATTTACGGCAGTGTCCTGGCCACACCTGGCTCAGGAAGATCCCTCCTCCCCCAACCCAGTCAGTTGAATTCAATCAGCATTTCCTAAGTAACCCCCACCCCACACTGGGCCAGGTGACACAGATGTGACCAACACCCCACCCTGGCTCGCAGTCAAATAGGCGAACTTGCTCTGGAGCCTCTTCCCAGGACCTTTGGAGTCACCCTGACTCTGCCCCCAGAGATGGAGTAGGCAGAAGTGGGCGTCACAGCCTCACCCAGAGATGCTGCTAAGGTGGGTCCTCTGATTCCTAGACACACAGAGGCCAATGTACCTCTCCTTCCTAACCTTTATTACAGTAGCACAACTGGACACCCTATGGGACGTTTCTGTTTATCTGCCAGCAGCTCCAGCCGCTGGCACAGTGCCCAGTGCATTGTAAGCAGTCATCTGTTTATATTTGTTGGTTGAAAGACTGGTTGTAACTTAGGTCTCCTTCTGTCTGTAACAGGGTAAAAAGGGTATCACTCTGTTACAGGTATGCTGGGGGCTGGGCCTGGGGGCTTGCAGGCCATCATCCTCCTGGAATCTGCTGAGCCTTGCTGTTCTCTCTCCCTGCAGGCTGCAGGAGGTGCTGCAGCAGCTGCAATTGCAGGCCACTGTCAGCTGATTGAGGCCATGCAGAAACTTTGGGGTTTTTGCATGGACCATGTGGGCAGAACACTCAAGTGACTGTTACCTTCTTAAAGCTCTCCGGTGGGAGCAGGGGCAGCTATGGACAGTGAGCTTGCCAGCATCCACTTAGCCCCACACTGAGAAACTGGCTGACATGCCTGGCATTGCTGCAGACGGGACAGCAGAAAAAGCTGCCCCTTACTTCATTGAAGCAGGGGTCCTTAGGGGCACTAGGGAAGCTGTTGCAGTGTTGAGGGAGTAGGAAGTAGCACTACCTCCCTCCAGCCCTCAACCTCTCTGTAGGACAAATTGGGGGGGCAGAGTAAGAAACTCCTGGAGTTGCTCTTAATTTCCTAGAACCCTACCACCTCCTCCTTACCACAGCCTGCTTCACCTTCATCCCATCTTCTGGTCCTTCTTCCACCTTTATTCCATACTTTGCGTTTAGGCATAGAAGATTCCAGAAAATGAAGTGGGTAGGTTCAGCAGTAGGACAGCAGAGCCAAAATCTGGTGGTGAGAAAGAGGAGCAACATTCCAGAGGGGATGTACAAGGCCCACAGGGGTTCCTTTCCCTTCCCCCCTCTGGCACCCTGGGAAATGCTGGCTCTGACTACAACAGCTTTGAATGTTGAGTGCCTCCAGTGTGATCCCACTCCTGAATGTCCCAGATTCCTAAAAGTTCTTCTTTGTGTGTCTTTTTGTAATGATTTTCCTCCCACATTGTTTTAAGGTTTTTACAACTATAATAAATGCCATTAAAAACGGCTCACTTGTTATTTTTACCTGCTCCTTCTGCCGGAACCTTAAACTGGCTTTCGGTTTTTGTACAAAACTCTGAGGCTAGGTGAAAATCTGCTTTGGCAGTGGAGGGTTGGGGCCCTCCAGTCCATTTGGCTGGGAATTAACTTTTCAGCCTTGGCCTCTACTGCTCTCTGCCAGGTAATGACACGTGGCTAGCTGTGACCGGGGAAACTCTGGGCTTGATTGGGCCCCTGGGGAGAGATACTGACTCCATGGAGCAGGAGTCCTAGAGGTCGGAAAAAATGAGATGGGGTGAAAACCCAGGCTGCCCATTTTACACCACAAAACCTGGGGTGGTCCTGAGGTTAGTGGGTCTCCTTCACAAGTCAAGCAATGGGCATCTCTAGAAACATATAGAGGGTTTAGAAATCCTTAATCCTGAGGTTGACCTGAGGTGTGATTGTGGAGAGGAACCCAGGCAATTTACCTGTTCTCAATCAGATTCTGTGTTCTTCCCATTAAATTATTCAGGCATAATTTACAGAAATAGTGTGACGAAGGAGTTGATGGCAATTCCATATTCCATAGAAATTTATCCTAATGGAAGGCACTTGTGGTGCTGGGGGTATAGCTCAGTGGTAGAGCATTTGACTGCAGATCAAGAGGTCCCCGGTTCAAATCCGGGTGCCCCCTCTCTCACTTCGGTTTTTCCTGTTTTCTCGTTCCGCTTGCCCACCTCTCAAAACGGGAGTGGACGACTCTTTAACCCCTACCAACCTCTTTTGCGATCGAACCAGCGCGGAGATCCGGACCCTGCCTGTCCTTAGGCTCAGCGTGTGCGTGTGTCTAAGGCTGAGCGTAGTGCAAGAGAGGGACAGGCGCTCCGGGTGACCCGTTGGTAGGAGATACGGACCGCTGACCACAGCAAGTCAGCCTACCCAATCAGTGAACCCCGACGGTTGTTTCCAGGGAGGAAGACTGAATTTCTAAGGGTCTAGGTTGGGCTGGGGAAGGAGGCCTAGAGAAGCTCGCGTGAAGGTGTTGGGTGGAGATTGGGAAGCCGAGAAACAGTAAAAAGGTTCTTGCGGGGCGGGGTTGGAGGATCCCAGCCCAGAAGAGGACGCCGGCCCCGAAGTGAGGCTCGAGACTTGCACGCCCACATCCCCAAATTGCATTTTTTATGAAAATAGCGATCGAAATATTTAGGTCAGAGCTTGAGAAAACAAGCTGCCCTCCGATGAATCTCTTGAGATTCAAATTTGCTTTGGTTTTGTAAACCGCAGCGCTCACATTCTCAAAATGTCACAGCGCCTGCGCAGCAATAATACTAAACGACTACCGGCGGCCACTCGTCGGCAGAGGGGGTATAGCTCAGTGGTAGAGCATTTGACTGCAGATCAAGAGGTCCCCGGTTCAAATCCGGGTGCCCCCTGCGCAGTGCTTTTTTTATTTTAACTTTTATACTTTTTCTTCCCTAACTTTTTGTGGGGTTTTCTTTGCCACCTCTCTTCTGGACGAATGAGAAAGGGAGAAAGAGTGCAAGAAATTGGGGAATTCTACAGCTGTGACTCAGAATGTGGTCTCTTGACTAGCACCACCACCTACGAACGTGTTAGAAATGCCTATTCCCAGTTGCACCCCAGAACTATTGAATTAGAAACTGGACCAGAAATCCGTGTTTTAATAAGCGCTCCAGGTGATTTTGATGTACGCTCAAGTTCTAGAGATTTACATTTTAAAAAAATGTACACATCATTGTCTTCTAATGTTTTCAAATTACTGTTTCAAGCTGAACCCTACAGTGACTACAAAATAAGACAGTCCGCCGGGCACCCCCAATGCGGGGGAGGGGTTGTGCCAATAGATGGGGGCCGCAGCTGGAATTCCCTCCTGGGTCCCCTCACCCAGATCTTCTGAGGAAGGGGCGACCTGAGGGTCTGGAAGTCCAGGTGGCGCTCAGCGCCCGGGTAGGTCCGGAAAACCCGGAACCCGCCACACGCGAGAGCGGCGGCGCGGGCCATGGCCACTAGGGGGCAACAAGGAGCCGCACCTGAGAGCGGCCGCTGGTTCGATCCCACTAGAGTCGGCAAAATTGGGATTTAAGTTAGACACTAGGAAGAACTTACAGACAGGCCTTGCCTTGTCCAAGGTAAAGAAATAGAGGGTTTGGGACTGGCCCCGGTAGTTTTTTTGGGGTCCTGGGGCTTGAGGAAGGAGGAACTGGCACGCTCAGAGTTTCGAAAATCTTTAGTTGTTGTATCTTGTCAGGTCCCCTCTGGGGCCACGACGCCAGAAGAAACCTTCCTTGTTCAGCCCACACTGTTCCTTTCCCTCTCCCCACGCATGCATATCCCTACTCCTGGGGGAACCCCCCCGGGGGCGCTCAGCTCTCCAGCCCCCTCACCCCTCACTCTCCCACCCTCCAGAGCTCCAGCTACTTGCCGTCGCTGCCCCAAGTAGGTCAGGGGAGGGGAGAGGCACCTCCGTGTCCTGACCTGATTCCCTGACGTCTATTAAATCTCTGAAATTGAGGGTATTTTTATTCTGTCCTGGAAGAAAAAAAAATATGTTCTCTCCCCAGAGTGTGGTACAAGGTGGGGTGAGATGTCGCCTAGATCTAGGCTGGCTTTGAAGAATGACTGGGTGGACCCTGAGCAGGCCCCGGGTCCCCAGGGAGGCGGGTGTCCTCCCTCGCCTTCTGAGGTGGGGGCTGGGCTCGGCTATTTCAAAGAAGGGGTGAGCCAGGCACCCCTGTCTTCTGGGCGGGAGGGCAAGACAGTGCTAGAAATAGGGGGTGGTGGGATAAAGTGGAGTGGAGGCGTGGGATGGGGGTGGACTAGGGGCTTTCTCTATTGGGGAGAGAACTGGGGGTCCTGGCTGCCCAGGGTGAGGGGAACAAGTATCGGAAACCCGCCGAACTCTGAGGAACAAACAAACCCCAGAAAGTCGAGAAGGCTGGAGGAGCGGGCGTGGGGGGATGCAGGACCCGGCCGGAGAAGCGGGGGCTGGTCCCCCCGGCCTTCCCTCTGCGGCTTTCCCGGCGTGGGGGCGGGCAACGAGGCCGGAGCCGAGGTGCGCGGCAGCGGGAGCTCGGGGCTCGCCTCCGCCCGGCC